ACGTTAAATGCGCTCCCCGCCTGAAAGACACGATAGGGACGTTCGCCTAGCACATATGTCGCTCCATGTTACACGTGTATACAGCAACTGCACTTGCACTGGTGTGTGTTTGTGACCTCCAACTCCCTGGTTCGCTGCGTCTGTCTATGCTATGTGCTGTCATCTCTGTCTCAATACATGCTTCTTCGTTGCCTGGTTCATGAATGCCTGTTGCACGGTGGTCGTAGTGTCGCGAGCTATGTTTTCGTGCGGAGTAGCGAAGAGGGCTCAGACAGTCAGAAGCTGACAGGAGACACAGAACGGCCTGTGTGTTTCTGACTTGGATTTGGGTGACAGACACAAATCCAGATGAATCAGCTGAGTAATCGTTCTCCCTCGCCACAAAGCTGTTTATGTTCTGCACTGCAGAAGCGCATGCAGTAATAGGGTCGTGAGTCTGAGATGGCATTGCCCCATGGCCACCAACTCCAACGATCTCAAAGTGAAAGCTGCACAGATACGCAAGTAACAGGGCTTGGAATAAAGAGAAAGTAGCAGGCACGGAAGAAACGAAAATATCCGTACAGGCAAGATCATGATATACAAGAAAGGACAGCACCATACGGCGCAAAAAAAATACAGCCCAGTAGACACCAAGTATGGACCAAAACACATTAGGAACATGTATGAAAACAATAAGAACTAGAGCACAGAATAAGTCTAGGGTAGCAGGCCGCTACTTGACACATGAAAGTCAGTGCGGCAAGCGGATATATAGGAGGTGGTGCAGATATGAAGAGAGTAAGAAGCAGAGAAGAGGAAACAAAAAGCTAGGCTACAAGACGCGTACTGGACCGATGAATGTCAGTGCAGTAAAGCAGGGAAGAGAAAGCAGAAGAGAACATATGAGCGAACGCAAAGCATAGAGGAGAAAATAAGCTTCACCTTCCAGTGGCAGCCATGAGGGGCCCCTCCCTCGAGGCGACAATGCCCGTCGGTATATCAGGAAGAACATGCAGCCCCAAAGCCAAGCCTGGCCTTGGACTCCGCTCTAACAAACCCTCCTCGACCATCATTCTCGCTCCCTGGCCCCCCTCTTCGGCGGGCTGAAACACCAGCCGCACTGTGCCCTAATCAAACAGAAATAGCAGAGGCATTGCATATCTCAGCATCGGCTGCTGTATGTAAAAATGCAGTTGCTGCCTCCCGAGAACGCACTAGAACACGTAGGCCCAGCAGGAACAACAGTATGAGGGACAAGCACCCAGGAACTTCTACTGAGGCAGGAGCAGAAAAAGCAACGAGAAGCTAACGAATCAATAAATTCGTGTGCTGCGAACTTTAATAGAAGCCTCGTTTTTCTTTAGAATGGCTGCAGCCATGAGGAGCATTGTAGTGTGTGAATCATGGCCGCAGGCATGCATCTTCCCCTCCACCTCAGATCTGAAAGCAACGTCTGCCTGCAGCAAAAGCAGTAGCAGCCGTCATAGCCGAGGAATACGTGGTCGATACCAGCTGCAGTAACAGACGTACCGGAGCAACTAAAGGATATTGGAATGCAAGCGCACCAGTACTGCAAATAGCACCAGAAAGACAGGCAGCCGCTGCAGCAGCAGCAGCAGCAGCAGCAGCAGCGCCTAAGCTGGAGCGACAACAGCAACAGGAGGCAAAACCACGCATATGACCAGCTCCAGCTGTTTCACTTGTCTAGCTGCTGTGACAGCACCTGCTCGTGAATAGGTAGTGCATCCATGTCTGCTCGTAGTAAGACGCATGGGGCCTCTCCCGTCCCAATTTCAGCGACAACACCTGTCCCCACAATCCCAGTTGTTTCTTGCTGCCGCCGTTGTTGCTGTTGCTGCTGCTGCTGCATTTCTTGTAGCGCCTCTGCGTCCCCCCGCTCAGTGGATGGCTCTAGCAAAGACTCATCGACAAGAGATGATCGGCGGTCTCTGCCCCAACCAGGCGTGTACTTTATGCCCAATTCCTGAAACACCAGAGAGCAGCAGCAGATGCAGCAACATGAGCAGAAGATAATGGACCTAAGAGGCGCTATACAGAGTGCCAAGACAGTTTTTGCAGTGGCAGTAGTAGCAACAACTGCTTGATGGGAATCCAAGCATTAGCACAAGCCGCTGTTGCTACGCATATTCCCGCTTTTTCTGCAGGTTTTCACTGTGTTTCTCGCGCTCCCGATTGTACCCTTCGGTAGCGGCCTCACTGTGAGCACTTGCTGCACCAATGCCGAAGTCCTCTCCTCCTCATACATCAGCTCCGGGTGTCTATGCAGCTGTCTCCGTATGTTTATCCCCCACTCCTGTAGGGCAGCAGCTTGCTGCAGCACACAGCTGGCGCTTGGGGGAGATCCGCATTGCGGCAAGTCAGGTTTGTTGATAGCTGTGTCGGCAGCTGTCGGGCGCGCTACTGCTCCTGCTGCTCCCGCTGCAAGAAGCGTCCAGAGATAAAGGCTGCGGGGGTTGCGCCGTAGAAGCTTCATTTTCTTGCAACGCTGTGCAGCCGCTAGTGCTGCTGCTGTCTTGCGTCGCCGCGCTGCCGCCGCCGGCAAGAATGCCGTCAGCGGCGCGGTCCCTAAAGCTGCACTGAGTTACTGTTCTCTTTGTTGGAATTTCGGCAAACGACTCAAATATTTCGATGGATTTAATATTGGCTACTGATTTCTCTACCCAGCATGAGCATGACGGGGGGAGAAGGGGGCCGGGCACTCTTCGAGGGACCGCCGACTCAGCTTCTGAAACTCAACTTGAGAAAATAAAATAAGCATATAGAGTACCACAGTAAAAACCCTAAACACATCGAAACAAACGCCTGCATATCGCTGCAACTGTAACAGGGCCTACAGAAGACACAATCGTTGTTTACCAGCCAGCCTAGTAATTGATGTCATGGCTTGAAATGCCAATATATGCGCTGCATGCAGTTCAAGCAATAACAATTTTAGGAGCTAATAATATCTTCATAGCTCGTTAAAGGATAATAATAGCTCGCTGTACCGGCCCTACGTT